TTATATATATATATATATATATATATATATATACAATGTATATATATACAATGTGTACAACCCTAAAGTATTCATGTAAGACTGTTGGTGTTTATCTCGAAAAGTTTAAAGAGTCGGGCGCTGCTTTATATGTGAATTTGAGATAACTTATTTTTACTTAGTAAGAAAACTTGCAGTTATTCTTCTTGAGTGCAGTATTATTGTTTCTTGTTGCTATCATAATAAGCGGAAAATGAGCAATGGTTCTTTTTAAAAGAGCTCGATTTCTATTCGCAGTAGCCACTTACTTTTCAGTAGAATACTTGGCGATTCTAGCGAGGGGGATTCTATAGAGGGGGAATTTAAAGGGAGCGTTGACGAACCGAACACTAATTGTCAGATCACCTTTATAACTGCTTACATTTTTTCCTTGTCCATTTGTTAGCAGTAATTGCGACTATAGGAATATTTTAGATAAAAATTTTTTTTTTTATATTTTTTATTAGCAATTTGACTGTCGTCTCCAAATGTAGAAATCGAAGCGTTGTGAAATTTTTAGCACTTGTGGAGTCTGCTGAAACTGAATTCGTTCGCCTGGAGTTTCTTCTCTTTGCAAATAGCAGTTTAGTGTTACAAGAAAGGACATGAGCGAAAATGATAGTGTAGTTGAAATTGTTTGATGACGTAATTGTGGTTTGATTCTTAAAGACGTTTTTGTGATGTCATTTGTGAAAGTTTTAAGTCGGTTACGCTTTTTTTTTTTTCAGGGGAATAAAGTATGTGATGAGTGCTTATGGATCATTCAGACGGTTACATCGTTTTCAGCGCCTTTATTTTATTCGCTATTTTATTCTGCTGATTGTTTTGGCGATTTTTTGGTATGTTCTCTTATTTTTCGCATACGTTTTAACTTATTCTTATCTTACTGAAGCAGAGAGACTGCTGTTTGCGTCTTAAATTTCATGTCGCTAAATTTTTTACTACTTGTAAATTTATTATCATTTGTCAGGAAGAACGGGGAATTGGTAGTTTGTACTGTCGGCTTTCTTGGTTCTAATTTTATGAATTTTTTGTCGGTTTATTCTTGACTCGTTGAATTGCCGGTAACAGTTGCTCTAAGTGTTACTGTACTAAACATTTTGGATAGTTTTATCTGCTTTTCCTTTTCAAGAGAGTGTAATTAAATAGCTCGTTTAATACTTCTGTTCAGAATTGAAGAAAGATTAGTACTAAAAGTATTCAGTTTTGCTTTTTTGACGACAGTAACTAACTTCCGCACCAAAAAACAGTTTTCCATTACTGAAATGCTTATTTGAGTTTAACTTTCGAGGTTGTTTCAGGAACGAATATTTGTCGTATGAATACTCGGCGTTACTCTGGGTTTTTCGTTTACCACATTATGACTCTCAAACGGTTAAAATTTTAATTGTTGCTGATCCTCAGCTTATTGGGTATCAAAATGAGGGTGGAATGTACCCAGGAATCAAAAGATGGGATGCTGATAGGTTCGGAATGGTTTTCACTGTTCGATAATGGAGGTTTTAGAAGAGTAATAGCGGCATTTGTATTTCTTGCTGCTTGGTTCAAGCATTTACTGGTTTGTTGATAGGCTTATTTAGAAAATGTTTTCACCTGCCTTTTAGCTATATTAATGGTTTAAGGTATCTGAAGAAAGGATTCTCCCGTGTGTTGCGTGTGGCGAGCCCAGATGTCGTTGTTTTTCTGGGGGACCTTTTTGACGAAGGCACTCAAATGACTGATCAGGAATTTGAATGGACATTGGAGAGATTCAACAAGATTTTTGATATGCCACGGGATATACAGGTCTGTTTGTCATTTCATTTAGTTCCAATTCTATAGTTTTTTACAGAATCTTCTATAATACTTTGGAATAATTTTTGGTACTTTTTGATATATCAATTTTATTGCAGAAACTTTATGTTCCTGGTGACAATGACGTTGGTGGAGAAGACAGCCCTGTGTCTGAACGTCTAGTCGAAAGGTTTCAGAACAAGTTTGTTAGCAGCTTTGATTCAAACGTGCTGGGACTCGACGACTTTGACTTCTTTTATGTTAGTGGTACTTCTTGCCTATTTTGCATTCTAATCAGAGTCAGCGAGTAATCCTAGAAAGAAGGTGGTTTTTTTTTGTAACGATATTTTTTATTAACCTCACACGTTTTTTTATCAAGAACTCGAGGCATAGAGTAAGTACTTCGACGATAGAAATATTTAAATTAGCTAGAATATGGGAAATTTCCTGTGTATCGGTTATGATCTTCATCCAGCTTAGAGGAGAATAATAGGGTATCAGCTGAGATAATTACTTTTTCATTTTCTAACTACAATTTTGCTTATCTGTCTTAATCATCGAGAAAGTTGGCAAAATAAATTGAATTTGTATGATGTCTTCCGGAATGATTTTTTTGTTAAAACAATAATCTTTCTACACTTGTGCTCTCAAATTTCCAGGAAGGTTGAAAGGTGAATGACATCATCGCAGTTATTTAAATCCTCTTATTTGTGATTTAAGTTTTTTAAATTTTGTTTAGGTCAATGGATTTAACGAACAGATGAAAAAGATCTTTGAAGGCACTGGGGACTTAAAATTTGTTTTAAGTCACATGCCTCTTTTGCGTGCTCATGGCTCGCTACAGAAGGTGAACCAGTTATCTTCAGTTTTGTTACCAATTCAAGTACTCATCACTATTTGTCACTTTAACCGTTTATTCCCTCAGCAGTTTATGAAAATATCAGTTTTTTCTTTTTTCATTTTTTAATTTTATGAACCTTGCTGTACATAAAATCTTATTTCAGTTGCGTGTTTCACTGAACCCATCATTAATAATTAGCGCTCATGATCACAAAGTACGTTTTTGAAATTTTTGGGGTATTTATTAGTTTTTATTCTAAACGTGAGCTCTTTGTCGATTTAGTCACGTACTGAAGTTCCGTAATTAAATGCACCGTGTTTTTTCATTACTGATTCTTCTTGTTTGTCTAAGGAGCGTTTTTTAAGGCTGAGTTCTATCAGGATGGCCGAAGTTCATACAATTTTTATCGGTCTTCTTTATTTACTTACAGTAAGGCAATAGAGATGGCCATATCTAAGGATGACCCATGTGTTGAGCTGCAGTCTCCAACATGTAGTTATCGTATGGGAGTGCATGAAACAGGCTACGGTAAGTTTTAAAATACGATTTTTTCGATATTCTCCAAATTTTATTAATTCAACTGACATGGTGTTTTGTAGTAGTCACTGGACTTTTTTTGAAATTTTAAGTTTGCTTTTAAATTGTCAAAGGGACTTTTTTTTAGGAAATGAATTTTACATGTTGCAGTTATTTGCTAAATGAAAAATTCTTCTGTAGATGAACACTATGATGTCATAATTTGTTACTGCAGGTTTATTGTTATTAAAGAAGGAGAATGGTACGCCTGTTAGGTTTTCTGCGAAATATTACGTATTATGGCTTCCTCAAAGACTTTGGCAACTATTATATTATATTATAATTTTGGCTTTGTTAGCGGCATTTTTAATATGGATGACAGGAAAAAAGAGTCCTCGTCTGCAAATTCTTCGAACTTCGCGTTAATCTCCTTGTTTCTTTTAAGGCTTATAATGAGCATTTCCACCTCAGTGATTGTACAGTTTGGTTATTGAAAGCGACGTTAGATTATGTCTCAGCTACTATCGGTCTAATTTATTTTTTCACGGTTCAAAAATTGTTTTGAAAAAATGAGCTTCGACGCTGTTTTAGTTTATTACACAAGCTATTACAATTTTGATCTTTTATTTTATTCTTATTTTCATTTTGCTTGGATATTTTATTTACTTTTACATAGCAACCACTAGTTGCCTTTTTTGAACCTTCATTGAAATGTGAGCTTTTAGAAACAATTTTTTAGTTTTGAGGCCTTTATTCAGTTTTTTTACTTCATTCTGCTTTTTTTCTCAAACAGTTATTATTTTTTCTATCTAACAGCTTTACTTGGATTACCAGAGTTGACCTTACTGTTTTTGAAATCGGTTGCAGACAATAATGTTGACAATTTTTCACATTCTTTATTTTGTTGATTTTGCGAGATATTCGACGCCTTCTTCTAACGTTTTGGAGTTTAGTGTTTTCTTGAACGCCAAAAAAATTGTGTGAGGTGTTCTTTTGGTCTTAGAATTATGCATCTAATTGTCGTGAAGTGCGTCGTTGATGTACTACTAATTTGTTAGTCTTAATTTTAATATTACTGTTAATGTTATTATTGGGATTACTATAATATTATTACTAAAATTGCTCTATTTGTTATTTGTTTTATTTTAATTTTTCGTCTCTCTCTTTCACTTAAA